CATGCAGCGGAATAATATTGGAGTTCTGATTCGTAAGAAATTAGATAGTTAAAATTTAGTTATTACAATACAACGTTGGTATTTCAACTATTATATAATTTATTAAAACCATTTTAATATAAACTTATTATTGCTTTTCATTCCATAGCACTCCAGCTATACAATTATCACGGCTTTATTAAAATTAGAGAAGAAATGAAATATAACATCGTTAAATAAAGTATTTTTTATATTTCTATTAAGACGTGGGGTGAAACCCGCGGGTAAAAGCTAGTATGCATATCGTTTAAAGTACAAAACCGCGTATCGTCATTCTGCAAAACCGCGTAACTGACATTTGCTGCAAAAAATTGGATTTGCTCACACAAGCTCTTGGCTCAATCCTCATTCATCCGTCCTGAAATATACTAGCCAGAAATTCGATTGGTTTATAAAAAAGGGAACCATTTTGAAATATGAGTGTTTTTACTCCCTAGAAAATACTTTATGCAACCTCACATACGCGGTTTTGCATTATCTTGTTACGCGGTTTTGCATTTTGTTGATACGCAGTTTTCTACTTTAAACGACGATATAAATTGATATCAGGAGGGCTGGATGCTGAACAGCGGTCTTGATTATGCGTTTTATCTATTAAAGATGTCAATTTAAACCGATTACCCAACGTACTTCATATGACTTGAAATTTGGACAGAATTGTGTTTAAAGTGTATAGAAAATGAATCAAGTTTGCCTGCCAATTCTTATGGTCTTAAAGTAATTCCAGCCTATGTTGAAGTGCATTGTTGCAAGTATAAGTCAACATACTTCAGACAGGGTGCCCGTAAGTGCGGGCGCGGGGCAGAAAACGTATATCGTTAAAATGCCATGGCGTGTGAGTTATCTATCAACATCAATATTTAGTCCGGTTATGCTTCCAAGCTTGTACTTATTCACCTCGGTTTGTTCTCTATTTGCAGATTTTTGCGAATAGTTGAAAATTCATACAAACAATTAATTAGTAATTAACAAAATGAAAACAAAATTCTTCAAATTTTCCGCAGGCATTTCGGGAGGGGTTTGAACCCCCAAAACCCCTACCTGCGTTCGCCCCTGAATGCATCCATTGTTAGCCATCAGTTCTCAGTAGTCTCATGCTTCTTTGGCTCTTTGTATGACTAGGCAAAGCGAGTGGAATATATTTGGACGCGTTAATGTTTACAAAATCGATAAATATGAAACAACAACTAATACTAATATTAAACATTTTATTTTAAAGCCGCAGGCACAAAGATTTAAAAAGGAGTTAGTAATCGCTTTCCTAAATTTTCGCATGCCGATATAGTTTCTGATGCTTGTGTGACGAAGGCGTGGTACAAATACAATTGTACATTAGGATGGTCCGAAAACGCATGAGAAAATGTAATGTCGGAATTTTTATGGTCTCTTCCCATAGGTTTGTTCTATACTAAAAAAATACCCATATTTTTTATTTTGAAATAAAAAAATTATTTAGAGGCCGCTCAAAGCGCTCAATGTTTTCCATGTATTTTATTTGGGAAAAAACCACTTTTCGTAGAAATGGTATATAATTCGTCAAAATCAATATTTTTCGATCGGAAAACTCTGCTTCTCTAAAGAAGATTTCCTATAATAACACCCAACTGTTTATTTAACAATTTTTTTTATAGTAAATATAATTTATAGGTCCGCCAAAAACCCCAAAAATTGCAATGGCACCAATAAAAAATCGATAGTATTGAAAAATGGTTAAATAAACAATTGAGTATTATTATTGGAAGTGTTCTGAAGAAAACCAGAGTTTTCCGATCGAAAAATATTGATTTTCAAGAACTTCATACCAATTCTACGACAAGTTTTTTTTCCATATAAAATACATGGACCACTTTGAGCGCTTTGAGCGACCTCTAAATTTTTTTTGATTTCAAAATAAATGACTGGAGTACATTTTTTTCGACATACAAAAATCCAAGGGGGTGAGTGCACTAAAATTCCGACTTCACTTTTTGGACCACCCCAATGGAGTGCAATGGGGTATAGTCATTGCGCTGGGTATGCAGTTACAGTTGCATGGCTATACTCAATCCCGACTCTTGCGTCCTCGTTCGCGCACTCTGGGCAACGTGAGCAACCCATGTGCGAGATGCGGTAACCAATCCGAGTGGAGCCATGGGTCACGGCAGAAAGAGAGGGAGCTTCGGTGGGGCCACTCTGACTTATTCGGTTTAAGGGCTCACTGAAGTCTGCAGCGTCTGTTCACCAGTAGATGCGGCTGCAAGCGGGTGTCTGCTTGGAGCAAGCGGCTCGCTATATAAACGTGTATTTGGTTGCGAAACCACCCCCGTCCCAGCAATGGGTTGTGCGCTGGGCTTGGGACCCGCCACGTAAAAACCACTTCCAGTGAAGAAGCAAGGCAAAGCCTCGGCAACGTTTAAAGGACTACGATTTGAGGGCATGCACCTGGAATGTCCGGACCCTTAATGGAGAAGGTGCCTCTGCCCGGCTGGTTTTGTCCTCGTAAGGACAAAAGCTGACATCGCCGCCATCCAAAAAATGCGTTGGACGGGGCAAGGCAAACAATGTCTGGGGCCTTGCGACGTCTACTACAGCTGCCATGTAAAGGAGCGTAAATTCGGAGTTGGATTTGTGGTGGGAGAGAGACTCCGTCGCCGAGTATTGTCGTTCACCCCGGTGGACGAGCGTCTAGCCACAATCCGCATCAAAGCGAGGTTCTTCAACATCTCGCTCATCTGCGCCCATGCCCCGATGGAAGAGAAGGATGAGGCATCCAAGGATCTCTTCTATGAGTGCTTGGAGCGAACGTACGAGCGCTGCCCCCGTCATGATATCAAAATCGTGCTTGGCGACTTCAATGCCAGGGTGGGCAAAGAAGGGATCTTTGGATCCACCGTCGGAAAATTCAGCCTCCACGACGAAACGTCCGACAACGGATTGAGGCTGATCGACTTCGCCGGGGCCCGAAACATGTTAGTATGCAGTACTAGGTTCAAGCATAAAAAGATCCATCAAGCTACGTGGCTGTCTCCGGTTCGAAAAACGAGAAACCAAATTGATCATGTTGTGATAGACGGAAGGCACGCTTCCAGTGTTTTAGACGTACGCACACTCCGAGGCCCAAACATCGACTCCAGCCAAGATACGCACCCACCTCTGTGCAGCAAAAAATGTGCGCAAGGAAAGCTTAACGTCGAAAAGCTGCAATCACAACAGACAGCCAGCGCTTTCTCTACTCGACTCTCACACCTGCTCTCAGAGAGCACTCTTCAACAAACCGACATATGCGAGCAGTGGAACCCCATTTCCCGCTCATTAAGTACCGCCGCCGAAGAAGTAGTCGGATTTCAGCGAGCCCGAAAGAACAACTGGTACGATGAGGAGAGTCAGGAAGCTGCAGAGAAAAAAGATGCCGCCTACAGGGCCACGCTGCGATCGGGCGGAACGCGCGCTATGTGGGACCGCTATAGGGATCTGAAGAGGGAAGCGAGACGTATTTGCCGCAACAAGAAGAGAGAGGCAGAAATACGTGAGTGCGAAGAGCTTGAAATGCTGGCCGACAGGAGGAATGCCCGAAAATTTTACCAGAGAGTTAGGCGACTTACGGAAGGTTTAAAGACCGGGGCGCACTCCTGTAAGAACAATAATGGCGACCTAGTAACTGATGTCCAGAGCGTACTTAAATTATGGAGGGAACACTTTTCCGCCCTACTAAATGGTAGCGGCACAGAAAGTTGTGGAGAAGAAGAACCCGAGCCCGCAGTCGATGATGACGGAGTCGACGTTCCACCGCCTGACTATGACGAGGTACGTATAGCAATAACGCGGCTGCAAAACAACAAAGCCGCTGGAGCTGACAGCCTGCCAGCTGAGCTATTCAAGTACGGCGGCGAGGAGTTGATAAGGTGCATGCATTAACTCTTGTGCAGAATATGGTCAGATGAACGCATGCCCGATGACTGGAATTTAAGTGTGCTCTGCCTAATCCACAAGAAAGGTGACCCCGCCATTCGCGCCAACTACCGCGGGATCAGCCTTCTAAGCATAGGTTACAAGGTCTTATCGAGCGTATTGTGTGAAAGACTGAAGCCCACCGTCAATGAACTGATTGGGCCTTATCAGTGTGGCTTTAGACCTGGCAAATCCACCATAGACCAGGTATTCACAATACGCCAAATCTTGGAAAAGACCCGCGAGAAAAGGATCGACACTCACCACCTATTTGTCGACTTTATAGCCGCTTTTGACAGCACTAAAAAGAGTTGCCTATACGCCGCTATGTCTGAATTTGGCATCCCCTGGCTGTGTAAAATGACGTTGAGCAATACCACCAGCTCCGTCAGAATTGGAAATACCTCTCCGAGCCGTTCGCCACAAAACGGGGTTTCAGGCAGGGCGACTCCCTTTCATGTGACTTCTTTAATCTGATGTTGGAGAAGATAATAAGAGCTACAGAACTGAACCGCTCAGGAACAATTTACTACAAGAGCGTGTAAAGTCCTCTCTCGACGTACGAAAACCACGCTCTATAAGTCACTCATCATGCCCGTGCTGGTATATGGCGCAGAAGCATGGACAATGACAACATCCGATGAGGCGGCTCTTGGGGAGTTTGAGAGAAAGATTTTGCGGAAGATTTACGGTCCTTTACGCGTTGGCGACGGCGAGTACCGCAGACGATGGACTGGCGTGCTTTGCTGAACTTGGCCAAAATCGCTTAGGCGGTTACAGCGCCAAAAAAGAAGAAGAAGAAGAATGTATATACAACTTGTAATTATATAAACCCTTCCAGGCATTTGCGCGCGCTGTCATGGGCGTTTAGAGGCTGTGGCGCTGCTCTACTTAAGTGCTAAAGTGCCAGCGGCAGGCGGCTGCGAAGTGTGGATACAAATATATGTATGTACAAGAAAAGGCGACTTTTTATAAAAAAAAAAAAAATGAGTCGACCACCTGCGTCTAGCCTGACGCGCTATGCATGACATTACGTGTACGCGTACCGACTGCAGCTTATACGCATGCGCAGTTACAATGCGACAGTTTAGTGGGTTGGGCGCAGCGCCGCGCGTGTTGCAAATGACACAACCGCATGCCGCCATCAGGACCACCGCTATGCAATTACATGCGCACATACTATGTGTTTTCGTTGTTATTATGTATTACGCATAATATAATTTAATTTTTTTTTAAATTTTTTTCTTGTGTGTTCCAAATTTGCATTTAACTTCTGCCATTTTATTGGAGCAATAATATCCGCAATTTTGTGCCTCCATGCACAGCTGAGTGTTCTACTTTATACAAAAATGTATTTTATTTTTTGTGACGAAATTGCACATATTGCAAAAAAAAATATATAACTGCCTTAATGAAGTTAAATTTAGCACTTTGTCTATAAAAATAAATTTTACGCTAATTTACGACATTACTGCCGCAGGCATGATTTGAAACTGGTTACCTTGCATTGCATGGCTAATCTGATCTGTATGTAGATTAAAGCGAAAATACAAAAAACAGAGCAAAATTTCAAGACTAAAAAAAATTAACACTATCTGATTTCCCCACACGATAGTGTGTCATGCTGATGATACGCTGATAAAAGCAATTGAACTGGTGAGGACATATTTCAGTTCGGTGATTATTTATGCGCGTACATTTGTACATAGCTAAATTTTCACGAAGGCAAAATGTGCGAAAATTTAATTAAAATGGCAAATAACAGGTATAGTATAAATTAGGGTTGTGCGATTAATTGATTATTCAAAATTTTAATTAATCATAAAGTAAATAACTCAATTATTCGATTAATTGGAAATTATGATTACTCAAAAGTTCAGTTACTCGAGTAATCAAGATTTTGATTAACCAAAAACAAAAATATTTGAGTAATTTGCTTTATGATTAATCAACATTATGAATAAAATGAGTAATCAACATTTCAAAGTACTATTTACATACATATGTACATATAAAGCAGTTGAAGTTCCTTGATACTTTGAAGAAAACGTTTCTGCTTTCAAAAATTAAAATGAAATACATACATACATACATATTTTTTTGATATACAGAATATAAAAAAGAAAATAAGCATTTTCCAAAGCAAACTCTTTTAACGAGCAAAATTAATTTTTTTGAGTAATCATATTTCAAGTAACTCGATTAATCATCGTTTTGAGTAATCAAAATCTTGATTACTCGAGTAATTGATTAACCGAATAACTGATTAACCAACTTGCTCGAGTAATCGAATAATCGCACAGCCCTAGTATAAATTAAGGTTAAAATTTCGGCTTGTCAAAATTTAAATTGATGCCCCTCAAATAGGATAGTACATGCTAGTGATGTGCGGTTTCGAGTATTTAAAGAACCGGTTCTGTCGAGTTCGGTTCCAAGGAGAACGGAAATAGGGCCTACCGAAATAGCTTCACAAAAACTTTTAAAAAGTTATACAAAAAGAAAAATAAAATTGTAGGGCAATTCAGAACTCCATAATACATATGTAAATAAGCCGAATTTCAAGACGATAGCATCAAAAACAACGAAGTTTATGTAAGTCGGCCAGATCGGGTATATGTCGGCTATATGATATAGTGCCTCGAACCGAATAAAATTTGTTAGGTCAACTCAGAACTCATTTAAATATGTCTTATTAAATGAACTTCGGGCTGATATCTTCATATTTCGTGGCGGGTTGTCGGTTCTGTAAGATCCGTTTTCGGTTCTCATGATTAGTTTTTCAGTTCCCTTTACTAATTTTTCGGTTTTTCCGAGATTATTTTCCTGTACTTCCGGAACCGGTTTTCGTTTTTTTTTTCTTCTAAGGGGAACTAAATCAGAAGGCTTTGAAACTCCCGTGAAACTCTGACCATTCCATTCAATTTCCAATTTCAATTTATTTTAAAGACTCAAGAATCAAGTACGTTACGCCTGTTGACATGAAATAACAGATATAAGAACTCCTAGAAGGCCTTGTTTTTCTAATTTTCCCGATTGGGTTTGATTTGTTTTTCGTGGCTTATTGTGATACCTTAATGAAGGCTTCTTATATTCTTCCTTTCCTTGATATTGATATTTGGCATACAGTTGCCGACATATCTTTGGGATTTGGCCCCCAAGCTAAGTGCCGTTTTTTTTTCAAAAAGAAATTTTTGTTTAAAGCCTGCTTGAGATATCGGCGCTAAATCTGTGACACTTTTCATTGCCAGCTAATTTAAGGCATGTTCATGTGGATTTATCACATTGAAATGCTTTGGTAGCGGTGCAGCTTCCTTGATTGCTGTTAGCTCAGCTTAAAAAAATGCTGCACAAAACTGAGACTCTTGCGAGTTTACCCCTCTTCTATGCAACGGCTGTTTTCTTTTACAGTTGTATGCGAGCTTCATAAGTTTGGCTACATATACGGTGACCAGATTTCTTTGGCCAAAAATCGGGACATTTCTAAAGCATCGAGTGCGAACATAAGACTTTTTTTAAAACAAAAAGATACACATAACAACTTTTAATACAGTTTTATTTAAAACAAAACAAAAAAAAAACTTGAAAATTTATCGCAAAAATGTATACGCACAATATATACGGTGGCGAGAATGTAAATAGCAAGTTTTTACTACTTTTCTTTGTTTTAAAAATGTTTATTATTTTTTTATGAAAACATAACTTACTATCCAAGAAAAAACATCTAAATCAAAATTTAAAATTTTGTAAAATATTTTAAAAACTTCGACGAATTTTAACAAATGTTGATAAAAATTTTAAGTATTTTAATCAGATTTTCTAGAATTTTTTTGAGTAGATATGCAGTTTTGTAGCTCATTAAATTTTAGTAAATTTATAAAGTGCAAGTTGGAAGTAGTTTGGATTTTTTGTTCGCGCATTTTCTTCCATACAAAATATGTGCAAATTTTTTTTTTTTGTATGGAGAAAATAAGCAACACGTTTCACAACACAAACTTACCAAAACTCAACGGTAAGTCCTAGCTTCATAAAATTTGCACTTTGAATTGAATGGGCTACATAAATGCATACTCAGAATGTTTCTCTGAAATCGAATTAAAAAGCTCAAACTTTTGATGAAATTTTGTCGAATTTCAGTAATTTCGATTTTTTTGAGGGAATTAGTATTATTTTTGTAAGCTCCCTAAATTCAAGTTAGAATCGTTTCATTAAAAAAAAATTAACAAATAATTATAAAAAACTTACAAAAATAAATTAGACAAGAATGATAGACTGCAATATAGCGAGAGTTCCAGTTTGACCGATTAAAACATAACCAAAATCATAGAAAATAAGTATGTAGTAGACCGTTCGTGAAAAATAAAATTTGGTTTTCCGGGCGGAAAAAGATGTGTTTTGGTCTAAAAATAAGCTGTGCAAAATTTTATTCGAATATGATAACTCTAAGTACTTGCGCGTTGCATTTGAAAATTTAGAAAACCATATGCATTCTGGGAAAAAAATTTTTAACAAAATAGTTGAAAGTCTTGAATTTTATAGTCATTTGCTATGTAAAATAACTCACACAATCTGAATATGAGGTCAGAAATTAAAAAAGTAGAATAGGTTTTAAGAATTTGCGAAGTTATCGTTTTTTTTCAAATTGAGAAAACAGCATTTTCAATTTTTTTTCAAAAATATCCGGTTGTGATTACCACACCACAAAAAGATCTCCACCAGATTAAAGTCTTTGAAATCCCTAAGAACCTGCTATACAATGTTTTGCAATCAAATTATCAGTTTAAGAGTTATCTGCCAATTTATTAGTGAAATCGGACACAATTTTAAATCGCATCGTTATTCTACTGTGAATTACACCTAAAAGCTGCAAACTTTTTGTTCTTATTTTTATGCTATGTTAAAGCTTATTTAATTTCAAAGTATATAGAAAAATTACATACAAGCATATGTAAGTACATTAGTCCTATGACTTTTACCAATTTTTGATCGCAGTTATACGACTTTCTCTGAAATTAAATATACCTATAAGGTGAGGATGGGGAACGATGAAAAACCAACGAAAATATTTACGTAAAAATTTGGTCAAAAAGGTTCCCGTGGGGAACTCCGTGAAAAAAATGTATACTGGAAAAAATCGGTGTATTCTATGTTAAACCAATCCCGACTTTGTTCCCATAAGTACTGCTTTAAACCTTCCCTTATAACATAAAAATTTTTATATTCCAATTTTTTTGCAGACAAAAATATTAAAAGAAACGCCCGAAAGCTAGGATTTGCCCATATCCCCGTTTTTTCACATTTTTTTTTTTGCTCTGAGCCAATTTCTTGTACTAAATTTTTACAGAAATCTTTTTTTTTTGAGGTTTTTGTCATTCCTCATCCTCTCCGCAAAGGAATATTTAATTTTAGGAAAATATGACCTAATTTATGTAGGACAGTGAGAACGCACTATAAGCCGACGGATGATTGCAACCCTGAGTGTGGTGAAAGGGGAACGGACTGAAAAGGCGACATGATGAAGGACTAGACAGCGACGAGAAAAACTTCAACTACACACTAGTTGCGCGACGGTTATCACGCTCGGACGGTATAGGCTAAGTCCTTTTTAAAAACTCTTAATAAATTGTTAATTAAAACACATTAAGTTGTTTTATTGGTGTCGGCGATCCTACAAGTGGTGACAGAGTGGGATTTCGCTCTTAAAAAAAGAAAAACGCCTACAAGTGAAGCTTAAAAAAAAAAATTATTAAAGAAGCGCTGCGCTTTCAATAGCAAGTGCGTGCTACGGTGTGCGGAAAAAAAACTTTGAGCAAAGTTAGTGTTGCGAATAATTTCGTAGACTCTGCACCGCGCATTTGGTACGTGCACACATTCGCGTGTAAAAGTACGCATATAAATATATACACGTGTGAAAATTCTCGAAGCCAATTACCGGTAGCCCGTTAGGTACAGCCGACAAGCGGTACCACGTCATCCAAGGTCCCGTTGAGACCAGCCGAGTTAACCGTTACCCAGCGTTACGTGCGCAGTAAAAAAAAAAAAAACGTTTGTGTGCATAAAGCGCAGCATCAGTGAGCAGCGGGGCTGATAAAGCAGCCCGACGTAAGCAGACCATTACAGTGCACAAAATACGCACGGCAACGTGAGCAAAGAGGCCGATAGCGCAGTTCGAGAACTGACCAAATCGAGTCGCAGCAGAAAGCATAAAAAGCAGTTCGAGAACCAACTGAACCGAGTCCAACGGAACGAGTTGAGAAACGAAGAGCGTAGCCGCGTTTTTAACCGCATCAACAGTTAAAAGCGTGAGCAGAAACCCCAGAGACCAGCAACATTTCTAGGTTGGCGCAGAGTGTGAAGCGTATGCAGCAGTGTTGCTGTTTTAGCCCTTTGGTGGCTAAATTTAGCTACCACATACTTTTTTTGGCCACATAAATTTAAAATTGCCCCTAGCCCTTTTTTTAGCCCTTTTTAGAATTTATTCATACTTGGCATGAAAACGTTGTATATGCTTAATTTGTTTTTTTTTTTGCAGTCATGTAAGAGATGAATTTTTAAACTAAGAAAGACTGATATATATATACATATATGTATCGTATGCTCCTTACGCTTTCATCCATACATACTGTAAAAGTGTGGGGCTGTTAACTTATCTGTTAACGATTTAACTATAGTTTAAAATAGATAAGTTCACGGACCTTAATATGCCAAATTTGTTAAACGACCCATCAAGTCGATTGACCGTGTATGTTCTTGTGGTGTGATTGTACCAGCATACTGGTGTCGTGAGTGGTGAAATTAGCTCAATTTTCTAAGTAAAAAGTATTTTGGCGGAAATTTCTTGCCCTTTATGAGTCAAAGCCGTGTTTGTGGAAGATTACGTTCACGATATTGCAGTTGTGAATTACAAAAAAAAAAAACAATGCTTAACAAAATGCTAGAAGAATTATGAAATTTGGGCTCTAATCATTTCGATCTTTCCTCAACCTCATTTTTAAAGAAATAAATATTGTACCAGCATGCTGGTAAGTTATATGCTTCGAGCCTTCGAGCTGGTGTTGTATATTTCCCCTTTTATACAAAAAGGTTTTTGGTTGGATAAAATATTAGCTTTTTTTCCAGAGTTCATTGTTTTTATATACCATTACTTATTGAAAATGTTTACGTATATACTTATATATGTATATGTAAGTAAAAAATTTTAGCTACCATTTTTAGCCACAACGATTTTTTTTAGCTCTTTTTTAGCCCTTTTTTTAAAGGAATTTGGCTACCACTAAAAATTATGCGCGGCAACACTGGTATGCAGTGAATCTGATAGTGCAGGCTGAGAACGAAACAAATCGAGCTGTATCAGAACGAGCGAGAGAGTGAATACTGCGTTACATTTTAACCGCCTTAACAATTAAAGCAGTGTTGCCATTTTAGCCGTTTTCCGGCTAGATTTAGCCGGTTGCGATAGCAAACAGCCGGAGAAATTTCGATTTAGCCGGCAGCCGATTTGTTAGCCGTTTTGCAGAAAAAATTAGCCGTTTTTAGCCGATTTTGCTATTTGCCTTGTTTTCCTAAATTTCAAATATGTATATATGTGTCCATTTTTGGCTAAGCGACCCAAAATCTGTTAGAAATGGCTACTAGCCTTATCGTGGAGAAAATTTTCATGTCAGGCAGGGTTGTATGAAATTGGGCCAATTTCGGTTATTTTTGTTTTAAACGAAGAAGGGATTTTCTTCATAAAATGTTTGTTATAAATGTCTTAATTTTAAGTGTGAAGTTTTATTCGCAAACTTAGAAAATAAGAAATTGTTTCACTGTTAAGACACTTAAGATGCGTTTGTGTTTGGATATAATGCCAACAAACAGAATAAATATTACATGTAGATATTGTCTTCCCAGATAGCGCATATTCAATTCTGCCTAAATTACAAAACATCATTTTTGCCCACTCCCAAAGGCTTAAGGTAAGGGAAAAATTTAGATTTTCAAGCACTATGTACACATATGTATTTTTTTAAACAAACTTTTTTGCTGAGAACTTATTTAAATTCCAAAAACCGTATGCCAACTTGAATTAAAGGAACCAACACTGAAATGAGTCAAAATGAAAATAAAAGAGCACAAATTTCTATGTAAAGCAAAACTCTCTGGGAATCCTACGAGACATCTGCCGGTCATATGACCCGTCATCTAAATGGGAGATCTGCAGTCTCTTGGCATCATATTTTACATCAGAATTGAAGGGATTTCTGAAAAATCTGACCAGTTTTTTTGTGTAACTGTGATTTTGCATCCCTTGTCAACATATGGCCTCGATTGATGTTAACTTAAGGTCGTTGTTTTACTGCCTTAAAATTGAAGGGACATTTTTACAGCGTTTTTTATGTAGAGAAACTTTCAATTTTCTGTACGAACGCAAATTTGCAAGTTTTTCTGCCAGCTACTCAAGGAGCACATTGGTGTATAACTTGGTGTAAAATTGTGAATTTCGGTACAATTAATCATATTTATACCAAAATTCATAAATGTACACCAATTTATACACCAGTGTGCTACTTGAGTAGTGTCCACGGTTGCATTTCAAACAAAAGAAATTTGTATAAATTTTTAAAATTCTTTCCGAGGGGCAAAAAACAGGATCTACGTGTTTATATCTTGTCAGTCCGACTTTCTTCAACATACGATTCAATTTCTTTGTCGGGTTTACGCATATCAACTCTGGTTGAGATTGCATTCCGATTAAGAATACAGTTTTTTTGCCGAGTAGCTTTCAAATCATTGGAATTAACTAAATTAATTAAGTAAACAAGTATTAACTTACATTTTTCATTTTAAAATCGCTCCAGTTTGTAAATTTTTAAATTTCACGAACTTGTTTATTCAAATTATCGTCGACAAAAAATCCAACCATGTGCCACAATCACATGTTTTTCCTAATAGTAAATTCTTGCTGGCAAAATTTTTTCCGGCTCGAATTTGTAACTTCTCTCCAAGAAATAGTTTTTTTACTCGTGATTTATTTAAATAAAACATGTGAAATTTAGTTGAAACATTTTAGCCGGTTTTATTTGCCAATTTAGCCGGTTCGTCCAAAAAGTTCTGGCAACACTGAATTAAAGTGTGAACAGAAATCCCGAAGAGTACGCGAAGAATTGAAATCGAGCAGTGGCTCGAGTGGCAGCGTAGTCGCAAGCAAGTGCGAGCAGCGAGCAATAATCCCGAGTTAGCGTAGAGTGTACGCAGAATTGAAATCGAGCAATGGCTCGAGTGGCAGCGTAGTCGCAAGCAAGTGCAAGCTGCGAGAAATATTTCTGAGTTGTCGCAGAGTGTGCGCACAAATTTAATTGAACAACGGCGCGAGTGGCAGTGTAGTCGCAAGCAAATGCGAAATATAGCAGAGAGCAGCAAATAAATTTTTTAGTTGGCGCAGAGCGAGCGCAGGAAATAAGCTGAAGCAGTCGCAATTTAAGGGCGACTGCATCAAATATATGTACATAAACGATCAACGAAGCAGAGGTGCAGAACGGGTACATCGAAGTAGAGGCAAAACATCGCAGAAGTGTGGAAAAGGAGAGAGCAGCTACCACTTCCATGGTAATTTGTATGTGTATTTGCATACAGCAAGGTATGATGAACTCTTTTATATACATTTATACATATACAAATACATACGTATCCAAACCAACGTGCTGAAATAGAATAAATAGAAGAGAATAAAATCTAATTAGAGAAGCAAACAAGAAGCGAAGGCAAAGTACATACATAAATATTGAAAAGAATGTGAATAAGAATTAAAGTCAATGTGAAATGTATCGATAATATGTAAAGAAGTGTATCGGAAAAATAAGGAAGTAAACAAAAGAGAGAAATAATCGTTTGTACACAAGAACAGGGTATATTGCTTAAGCACAGAATTTGTACGTTGCTCACAAGAATGATAGAAAATAGATTGCGTGGTCGACGGTGAACAAAAAATTTACGATCTGCGCATCTACGTCATTGCAGCAAAGAGCGTAAAAAATGCCAAGAACGTATGTAAATACGTTCTTTGGATTGTGTCAAGATAGCGCACATTTTGTAAACAAACATATAAACATTGAAAAAAAGCCATAATTTTTAATATTTTTGCTTGCAATCGGTTAAATATAGAATTCCAGTGAAACGTTAAGACTCTAGAATAATTATTCGACGTAAATAAAAATATTATCGCAAGTTTTATAGCTACACATTTTGCATGGTGAATGCTAGAAGAGAACCTCCAACTATAGCTGTGGATTTATGGATTTGTGCTTTGGGGCACAATTTGAGTCAACAATCAGCAATAATCTTCACTACTGTCGTTCAGCATGAATAACATTATCAACAGTTTCGACCCTGGCGATACACAGCCATTTAGTGAAAGATGCGCAGGTGAATCATCATCTCTAGCCACAAATATCAGCCCCACAATAAGATGGACGCAAATAATGCTGATTATCCAGGAGATATTAAAACAAAATCGCAACAAAAATTGCAATAGTAAGTTATTGCAAAAAAATACCACAAATGACTTTGCAAACTCAACGCCCAAATGTGTTTGTGATGGAGCTTTGGTTCCACGCTTGAGTGAAAATGGTAAAGTGCTGGAGATATGCCCAGAATGCAAATGCCAGCATGAAGCGCGCAACACCACACTTTTAAAGGTCGTTGTCATCATTGTTATTTGGATTATATCAATTCTGGTGATATACATGCTCTTCCTCATTTGCTTGGATCCCTTACTCAACAAACGTGTTAAGGCGAATTATCAGGAACACACAAACGAAGATGATGACGCAAGTGCTACTGCCCCACCATTACCAACCGGCATGGCAAATCAAGAGTTGAACTCGCGAGCCAATGTATTGAATCGTGTTGGCCATCAGACGGATAAGTGGAAGCGCCAAGTACGCGAACAACGTCGTCACATCTATGACCGACGCACAATGTTGAACTAAATTTTTGAAATTTGAATATCAATCGCATTCAACATTATTATTTTTGAATTTATCTTAATTAAGACATGTCAAGTGTAATCGGTATATCTCATGAAAATTTATATACATACATGTCATCACCAGCAGCAACTATTCCACATCTTGTACAGTGGCGACGATCTCATATCGGGAAGTACTTGATTAGAAAAATTTCCTTTTTTGTTGTTGTTTTTTTTTTGTAAAATTTATATTTCTAAATCTATGTATTCCAAGTAATGATAACAAATCTGCCCATATGCCTGCATACTTACGAATATTCATACATACACTTATGTGAAAATAAAGGGTTTTAGCGATATTAGAAAGACAAAAAAAAAAAAAAAAAAATCTTTGCATACACAGTGAACCCCACCACACTGCCGAGCAGCTACTCGAAAAAAATGTAAATGTGAAAAATTGGAGAAAGTCATTGTTGCAATTCAACAATCAAAGCCAATTAGGTAGTTATTGGAAGCCGTGCAAAAAATGTGAATCCACAGAATAGATTCACAATTATATGCAAAACCAACTATTACAACTATGAAATCATTAGAGAACATTTTAAAAACAAAAACGGCACTAAGTTGAAATAGATTTTTGTACATTTATTCATTGTGCATTAAATTTGTCATCTATCTTGACACTATGTTATACAAAGTTAATATTTTCTATTTAGAAAAACTGTTTAGAAATATGGTACTACATTAAACTACTTAAAATAAATTCATTACACTTGTATTAAGTTATGAAACATTATAACCGATTAAGTTTAAATAAAGCAAAATTTAATGAAAATGATTTTGGAACTTAATAAGTTAATTCAGATAATAAAAATTAAAAGTTTATTTACAGCTAAAACTTATAAATAACATTTACGTTAATATTTTAACATACTTTTGTTTTCTTGAACGGACATTTTGTTCAATTTCTCTGTTTAATTTGCGTATTACTATGTACATTCTAGACCTAAAGAATAATTTTTTAATTTTTCTGTCACAGTCTATATCAGAAGCCTTTTCGATATGCTTTTCCAAAAACTGGGTTGTGATCATCAAGCTTTCCCCATTGATCGTTTTAAAAATATCCTCCATCCGACGCATGTGATCCATCATAACACTGCTTGGAACAGATAATCCACCTTCGTTCCACTGATTTACCCAAGAGTATAACTGGTTTTCCTCACTTTGTAACAATGTGCTGGGGATTTCATCTCGAAACCTATGGCAAATATACCCAGCAAGGTTTTCTAGTCCGTGATACTCCAATTCATTAATATGGAACTCTTCAGTCGGCTCCTCCCTTATTGCAGAGACATTTATAGCCTTGAAAAGTTTTGCTGTAATTAATAAAAAAGTAAAAAGTTACTATTATGTCTTTGGGAAATTATTTATTTGAAATATATACCTGTAAGAGGTGGCTGAGAAACTTCAATATCTGGGGTGTCGTCAACTTCGATATTGGCGTTGTCGGATATCACACCTTGGTTGTGTCCAAGAATATATCCCCTAAGCCGGTATTTAAATTCTTGTTGGTCAGGATGGTCATGTAAGCCGCCTTTTGCACGAATAACGCCAAAGAAGTTTTCTAATACATCCTGATTTAAGCGATAGGTTAGAATGTATTTTACATTGAAACGGCTCTTTAAATATTGAAATAACAATTTCACTGCTCTATTTGACTGTATAATTCCTATAAATTGATAATTATATTACTTTTTCATTGAATCTAGACTACACATGAATGAAAATTTTACCTTTCTGAAATGGCAACAAACTTAGTTATCCAATGACCCTCATATTTTGCATCATATTCATCATTTCATCCAAAATTGTATCTTGTGCATCAAGAGATAATCCGTAAGCGCTACGTCGTTCTCTTCCGTCTGGGTGAGGCACCTTTACGTTCATAACATCGAACCAATCATTAGTCTAAAATTTGTATACACATTCATTCATTTTTAATTACATAATTCTTATTAAATTACTTAAATAAAATTATTACCAATTTAAATAACTCGAAACATTCATTCCAACTATGTCCACTTAGATAGCCTAGAGTCGCTGCTCGTTTAATAGCTTGCGCTATGGTGTTGGAAAATAGTTTTGTAGCCGTTTTCACCTTTTGCCTGTGGGGTCCAGCTACATTAAGATGGCTCACCGAAATTTTATGTGTTATTGACAGATCGTTCGAGGTACACGAAAGGAGCTCCAAAATTATTTCTTTTTTCACTTCTTTCCCATTTATAATAAAACCTTTGTCCAGGAAGTGGTTCCTTAACAATTTTATCATATGAGGAACGTCTGAGAACACAAAAATTTTTTCGTCGTCGTACAGAAACCTGTAAATACAAAATAAGTTTCAACTAAGAACCTTCAGGTACAGGTTCGTGAATTATCAGTACCTACCATGGTTTTTCTTCATGAACTCCCAAGTCGCTCATTACAGCTCTATTGCTGCCGCCAAGATCACAAACCGCTGCAACAATATGATACCCACAATGTTTGGTGGTTTCCAGAATACTGTACAAAATATCCTTTGACATTTTGCAATCAAAGTCGAAAAATATCGGTAGCTTCCACTTAGACATTAAGCCTAAAAATAAAGTAATGTGAAATAAGAACTTTTGGACAATATTCTGCACGGACCTCTCAACATTGCCACTTGTACATAGCCTGTAGGAGCCAATGTTGTATCCGATGGAGAATCATAGCAGTAAGCCGCTCTAGTTTTCATTTCATCAAAACTTAATATGCAAAGTTTTTGCACTTCACTCATATGTGTCGATGCTTTCATTATTTTTACAACGGGTTGCAACACACCTTGACAAATTTCGATTCTCTTGGCCCAATCTTGTAATGTTCGTACCGCTGGCAGTGGAAAACCTTTCTTATATAGTAATTTATATACGCTTTTGCGCTTGCGGCATACAAAGTTATTGATTGGGCTATGTCCTTCTCGGTCCAGGCTTGTCTCCTAATGCCGTTCTTTAATTTGGTAATCTGCCCCTTTGTAAATATGGTCTCCAGCTTATTTTCCATATTTATGCACGCATGCTCCGCTGCTACTGCCCTTTTTTCCAAACCTCTATATCATATGCACGCTTTTTCCCCTTCATAAAATAACTGCGCTTTAAAAGTGTAATTTCGGACTGAACCCTTTTGTTTTCTTTGCTTAATCGCACATTTTCTTGACGCTCGGATTCCCTATTAAAATTTGTTTCATGAAAATGTATCTATAAATAAATGTGTATATTAATATTTTTATTCTAATCCTTACAACTGCTTTTTCAAATCCTCTATTTTCGGTGTAAAACTATAGTATCTAACGCTTTCGTGTGATGTTGATGGCCCTTCGGCCATATTGCTTTGAAATGAAGAGTTCTCCTTGTTTTCTTCCTCAAGTAAATTAGAAGCATATACCACTGCTTCGGGGAGATCTGCAACTTCTTCATTCCTCGACAATTGAACTTCGTTTTCCTTGTATGAAGTACTTGTTTCAGTTCAGCAACAATCATTTTATTTTCCCGGCGATGAGCTCTTTCGATACGTTCCGGATTCTTAATTTGTTTTTTGTAAATGGTTGGCACAACACCTCGTTTTAAAGCCCGTTTCTTTGCAAAGCCTTAGAAACAATAAAAAAAATTTGATTTTATAGCGATACGTACATACATAAAATTAATAAAACTTCTTACCCATTTGGTACTTAAGACTATTTTCACACGTAGCCGGTCTTTGGATTAAAATCTTTATCCTGCCGGCAGAATTTTATCCATTTTCTGGCAAGATTGGGATCAGCGGGAAAACGAAAAAAACTACATTCTGATGCTTTGTTATTATTGGTTTACCACAGCTTATTACGGCGCACTTCATTATTGATACTAATATATACTATATTTATATTTTTATACTGTTTATTTTATATTTTATTCAACACAAATTTTCACTCCGACCATAAATTCAGTACTTTTCAGCGTAATATCGTAAAAATTTTGCTGCAATGACGTCACACATCAGCTGATCGAAAAATACGAATAGCGGACCTGCGCAATGCGCAATCTCTTTTCTATCATTCTTGCGTTGCTCATAATTAATTTAAAGTAAATGTTAGTGTTTTAAATGTAATACGTACCTAGAATTAAAGCAATTCGTCTATAAATTTCATATTTTAGAATCCTGTAATTTAATCGTTTTTAAATTTAATTTAACTACACATATTAATCGACATGGACCGCGAACATATTTTTCGACTGACTTTTAACGAGTTAAAAGAAAAGTTAAGTGACCTAAGTTTGTCAACGACTAGACGGAAGGCGACGCTACAAGCACAGTATAGACAGTAACCAACCTTTTTGGGTTGTTGTTGTAGTAGTCGTTGTTGTTGTAGTTATATTCACTCCTGAGGAAGGCACGGGGTTGTGTGCTGCTATTTAATGGCCTTCCTCAGACTTTTTCTTAGATATCAGGGTTGTGTGCTGCATTATTATTAGATAAATAAATTTAAGCATTTGGCAAATCGTGATTTTATTAAAAGAAAATTATAAATGGTGTTGAAAAACCAAACAAACGCTCGTGCGAAAGCTCTATTTTTGTGTCTTGTTAAAATTTATGCATGGCGTATTGATGGTAATACAAGCAATGTATTCTTTTGTGGATTTTATGTTACTTGAGAATTTAGACAACGTGCGAACTGCCAGGTTCTGTTATCAATATAATTAACACAAGCTTTTTCGCGTAGTTGCCTTTCAATAAATAGAATAAACAAATATTCGCAAATAAATTGGATTTATTTTATAACTGACAACTAACGTACGCTTTTTGTTCTTTTCTCCATTTTGATTTTGACTCTATTACCGCCAACAACTTTATGTGTATACATATTTACAAGCTGTCAAAATTTTGCGTAGTCACACGAGCTAGGTAAAAATTATGGCATTCTTATTCACAAGGAGAAATCTCAAAATTTTTGTTTGGTATTTCCAAATTTTCTCTTTTTTATCAGTTGGCAAAAGCCCTCAGTGGCAGCGCTCCGAGCGTTGAGATAGTAATTTCATGTCAATTAGTAGAAAAGTTCCATGATGTATACCATTTTATGTGGAATTATTCAATAAATTTCGTTTTACACTATACTTTTTTAAACTATTTGAAGGTAATTATTTTTTGTTTGTTAAAAGCAACCCTGCGTGCTTGGAAGGCGTGTGTACCAACAATTTCATCCCTAGCATATTCATCCCCGAGGAAGGCAGCCGCCAAATTCACCGAAGGTTGTTTACTGGTTATATTGTGGCTACAAGACCGACTGTGCGAGCATTTCGGCTTGACTGTGGGTG